AACCGGTTTGGCTCAGTGGATAGAGCATAGGCCTGTGGACTGAAGGGTCCCAGGTTCGATTCCGGTCAAGGGCATGTACCTTGGTTGCGGGCACATCCCCAGTAGGGGGCGTGCAGGAGGCAGCTGATCGATGTTTCTCTCTCATTGATGTTCCTAACTCTCTATCTCTCTCCCTTCCTCTCTGTAAAAAATCAATAAAATATATTTTTTTAAAAAGAAGCAACCAATGAATTCACAACTAAGTGGAACAAGAAAATTTATGTCTCTCTCATTAGTGAATAAAAAATTTTAAAAAATAGTACCTCATTCAGAGGATTATCAAAAGGATTAAATAAGTTAAATTTTGTGACACCTTGGTGCCTGGAGTACAGTGTGCGCGACAGAAGTGTATTCTCTCCCATTTCCTCATTTGGTTCTTGTGATAAACATGTATATTGGGAGGCAGGACATTTGGGTCTGAGCCTTCACTTTGCTGCTTCCTCAGCACCTGGCCTTGGGCAAGTCCCCGGCCTTTCTGAGCCTGCGCTCCTCCATGCCACAGGGTGAACAGCCGCACCCGCTCCGCCTGCCTCAGTCATGCACTTCAGGGTGTCTTCTCCAGTCGTCGCTCTCTTCCCTGTGCCTACATCTTTGCCTCCCCATCTGTAAAGTGTATTCTAGGCCTCACTGTGAACTTGGGAAAAACCTCTAGTCCTCCGAGAACATTTTACACCCCTGGCTCACTACCTGCCAGGTGCTGGGGGCCACAGCTGCCAGGACCCAGCTGCTCCCAAGGAGCTCACTATGCATAGAAGAGACGCAGATGTAATAAGCAGAGAAGTAAGAAGCCTGTCCAAGTGCTGCTGGGAGACTCAGGAAGGCGCTGCCAGTTGACATCTGGGCTGAGTTACGAAGGGTGAGTAAGAGGCCATGAGACAATGGGCAGAGAGAAGCTCACATCAGACAGAGTGGCAGGAGTTGCCGGCACAAAGGCACTGGGCCCTGAAAGGGTACACTGTGTTCAGAGGATGGCGAGAGGCGCATGTTCCTGATGTTGGGGTGCCTGGCAGGAGGGATGAGTCAGGAACCTGGAGAGGTGGGTGAAGTGAAGGTGAAGAGCAGTGGGGCACTCTAGCCAAACAGCAGAGTCACCACCGGGCAAGGTGAGGTCTATAGGTGTAGGAGTGACAAAGTTATGATGGTTGTTTTTAGTATTTCATTAATAATATTATTATTCTAGTGAGAGCTGAAAAATGGAGAAAGACCAAAGTCAGAAAGCTCAGTTAAGAGCTGCTGCAATAGGCGAAGGAAGAAATGATGAGGCCTGGAGCCAGGGCTAGAGCAGAGGGGATGGACAGTGGGGTAAGCTATGTCTCACAGAGAATTGCCAGGATGTTCTAGGTGTGGGTGGCTAATTGGATGTAAATGTAGGGGAGGGGGAAGAGATGGAGGAATATTTGTTTGTTGGTTTTGTCTTGTTGGAGGACTATTTCTTAAGTTTCTAGCTTAGAAAGTGGGGCTGAGGCTGAGATAAAGAAAACAAAAGGAGGTAGAATTTGAGGAATTTAAGACACAAGTTAAATCTGAGACAAAATCATTCTGTGTGTGTGTGTGTGTGTGTGTGTGTATTAACATGTATATCTTCTTCTTATTATTTTATCCTTACCCAAGGATATGTTTGTTTGTTTTTTAATCAATTTCAGAGAGTGAGGAAGGGAGAGAAAAACATCAATTGGTTGCCTCCTGTATGTGCCCTGATCAGGGATTGAACCTGCAACCTGGGTATGGGTGTCCTGACTGGGAATCAAACCTGCAACCTTTTGGTATATGGATGATACTCCAACTGAACCACCCAGCCAGGGCCTACTATCAAATCTTATTCCTTGTATTATTCATAGTCCCAAAGAAATGTCACCTATTTCAGGAATTTTTCTTAGATTGAGCAAAAATAGACTATTTTCACTACCAGCCTTACATGTCCATCAAAATGATTCATTGTGCACTTACTAAGTGCCAGGAACTCTGCCAGCAGCTAGGGCTGAAAAAACAGACAATGAAGAGTCCTACCCTCAAGAAGCTACAGGCTAGCCCTAGCTGGTTTGGCTCAGTGGATAGAGCGTCGGCCTATGGACTGAAGGGTCCCAGGTTCGATTCCCGCCAAGGGCACATGCCCGGGTTGTAGGCTCGATACCCAGTAGGCAGCCGATCAATGACTCTCTCTCATCATTGATGTTTCTATCTCTCTCTCCCTCTCCGTTCCTCTCTGAAATAAATAATTTTTTTTTTTTAATCAAGAGGGCAACCTGTTTTTTGTACTGGCAACAAAGGAAATAAAACAACTTGTATTTTTGCAAATATA